GCTGGAAGTTCCTTCCTGTTAAAAAGGAGTTTTTCCTTTCCACTGTCGCCAAATCACCTGCTCATGGGAGCGATATGATTGTTGGGGTTTCTCTGGGTTTTTTTTATATTATTATAGGGTTTTTACTTTACAATATAAACACAACAGCGTATCAGTTGAGTGTAGGCCATTGCACCTTGGTGGTCTGCGCTTGAATTATGAACTATAAAATGTGTAATATCAGATACTTGAAGGATAATTTTTAAATGTTACACAATGTTAAGTTTAGTCAGTGTAAATGCTGGAGAATATTTCACAAATATCTCCATAAACAATGTAAATGGTAGATACTATTAGAAAGTAGGAATGTTTTTATTCATGTGGCCATTTCAAAAAAATTGTCTGTAAAATTAATCATAGATTAGTTTTCTGCATTCAGAAAAAAGAGGATTTTTATGTCACGCATGGAAAAAGCCAGTACTTAGAGTAATACACTGGTACAACAACTAACGAGTTGATAATCAGTTTGAATTTAATTTACTTATTTAGATAACTGCTACGCTAATGTCACTGCAAGGATTTCTCCACAAATGTCAGAACAACAATCGTGTAACTTTTATGAGAATATGACATTTGTATGTTTACATAAAAAAAAAATATAATAACATAGTTAGACTGACTCTGAACATTAAAACCACTACACTGGAAATATTGATTTTATTGAATAAAGAGAGTACAAGGCAACAATGAACTATTTATTTACACTGGTAGAATTAGATTAATGGAGAAATACATTGTTTATGAAATGTGATGCATTAAACACGAAACATCTTGAGAAAAAACTGTTTTGAATTCAGACTTTTATAGAGATCAATCAATTTTGCAGAAATGAAACAACATCAATTTACCCAAACAACACCTTGTAGGAAACCATGTTGGAGTCACAGTAAGCATGCAGCATCTGGTCCACAGGGCTGTAGTTTAGTTCTTTGAATGTTGGGAGACATTTTGTTCATGAAGATGCCAATGTTGAACTTCTCCTGTCCCGTCACGGTGTTGAATGAGTAAAAGATCTCCTCGACCTCCCTGTTAATGTAACGTGTCGCATAGAGAACGCCACACGCCATGAAGGTGTTGGTCACTGCCCGCTTGTAGACTGAAGTGCGCCAGGTACGCCTAAGTGTTGGTGTTTCACCCTCCTCTAGCTTAGAGAGAACCAAGTTGCCAAAGTCCTGAGTGGTGGTGTAGACCACCCAGACACCAGACTCATCTGTTGCCAGGTCCAGGTCAGTGTATGGGTAGCATTCCTCAAGATGGCAGAAGTTACCTTTTGAGTTGTACCTGGTTAACAGAGGATAGCAGTGAAAGTTTCTGTCATAGTTATTCTTTAAACTAACATTTTCAAAGTTGAGTAACAAACCTGGTGCCTTTTGGTAGTTGTAAGGTTGTGACACTTTTAGTGGTGAGATTGAATCGACAAACATAATCTTGGTTGTAACAGTTGTAGTACAAAGCCCCTCCATACAGAACATTATTTGGACCCTGGATGGTGTTGGTAGTTGGGTTTGAGGAGTGGATCTGGACGTTACCTGAAGAAGAAAAAGGAGGAATAAACGTATGTTAATAGTTTAAAACTATAATTTGCTTCACAGAAATGTGCCAGTAATTAAAACAATCGTGCACTTTACTTTATTCCACTTTAAGTAAGGAAAATGTCAGTGTTCTCTTATAATATTAAAGAGTAAAGTCACTTTTATTGTGGTCTGCATAATTCAATTTTAGGTACAGTTAGGTATTGTAGTTACCTAGCAAACTTTAAACGGTCCTTTCCATACACATTCAGTAACCCAACGTACAACAAACCTCCAGGTTAATTTCTTTCTTTCTTGGAAATTCAAATGATTCAATAAACTACTAATTTACCAACTTCAGTGTGATCCCAGTATAAACAGTAAGGGTTTTTTACATTTCGTAGGGGAATAAACAAAGAGAAGAGAGCAGTTCCTTACCTGGGACGCTCACTCCAATGATGAGAGAACTTAGACTGCTGTAAAGACGAACATAGTTGGCATGTACGTTACTCAATGTCAACATCACCAGCCAATACCAGCTCTCTTTGCCTTTCTCTGGTCTGGGATCACGACCCCAGGCTCCGTAAGCATACGAGCCAGGATATTCTCCTTTTGTGTAGACCTTTGGCTCAGTAACATTAACAAGCCGGCTGTGTGCACAGGTACCTGAGGGGAAATGTATAGTGTGTATTAGCTGTTCTCCGTGAGGCTACTTTTATGGAGGAAATGCATATTATAACAGGCCTTTTAAATGTATTTGTATGGCAAACTAGAAATTCTTTTATCAATGCATGCTGGGGTTTATTCATCATATAACGATTGAACTTTCTTTTACTGCAACTACTTTAAAGTAATAATTGTTATTATTATATTATTTATTAAATGAATTCGGTTCAATTCATGATAGCTTGTGTAACTACCTTTTGAACAAATAACTTGAATTAATGATTTTCTGTATGACATTATGTCTTTCTTTCATCTTGTCGACTTCTTCTTTGCAATGTTGCAAAGCTCTCTGAAGGACCCAGCCAAGCATCTAAGTTCGGTTGAGGTTGGGACCTAGCCTTTTACTTCACATATTTTTATTTGAGGTTGTATTTACCTAATTTTAAAGCTTATTGATAGCCATGTTTATCAGTGCAAGTGATTCCTTGTTGCTATTTGAATCCAATTTCAATGCACTGATTGGATTCTTTCATCAGCTGACACAGGCGATCGAGATGATTGATTACTCTAGTGAAAGGCAATGGATAATTAATGGATCCTCACCACAATTTAAACCACATGCAGCTGAGCACTTTTTCTCACATTTGTTTCAGCTTTTCTGACTCAATGACAGATCAAGATTTGGTCTTATTAAGAACTTCACCTAGTTTGTATTTTCTATTCAACTGAGTCCTTAATTTTTGTCATCTTTAGAAGTTTAAGGAGCTTGGAAAGAAAAGCGTCTGGACTTCTTTGAGTTGCTTGAAGACGTTTCACCTCTCATCCGAGAAGCTTCTTCAGTTCTAAGGGTCAAATGGTGGAGAGTCCCAGATTTAAACCCAGTGGGAGTTTCCCCCCAAAGAGGGACAAAGGACCCCCTGATGATCCTCTACCTA